GGTTGGGTATCTGATCCAAGTCGGCCAATTGCAACTCGTTTGTCCAATTAATGGCAACGTAAGAGTCTCATCTCACAGTGAGTGAGATTGCTGGCTATTACCTGCCAGCGTTACCCTAGTGAGATTCCAGACTTAGCCCCATCTACATCGCTGAACATTAACTTTGCAACTGGCTGCATTCCCGGCAGTGGCCACTATGCCCAAGTGGCGCTGCTGGGACGAAAGTGAGTTGTAGAGTCATAATAATGTACAGCACAGAAACAGGTCCTTTGGTCCAACTCGTCCATGCTGACCAGATATCCTAAACTGATCTAGTCCCATTTACCAGCATTTGGCCCATACTCTCTAAACCCATCCTATTCATATACCCATCCAGATGCCTTTTAAATGTTACAATTTCACCATTCTCCACTACTTCCTCTGGTGGCTCATTCCATACACGCACCACCCTCCGTATAGGGGTGGTGATGGCTTAGTGGTGCTATCACTGGACTATTAATCCAGAGACTCCAGGTAATGTTCTGGGGTCCTGCGTTCAAATCCCATCTTTGCAGAATTAGGAGTCTCCTGCAACACCCTAAACAGACAACAACAGTAACAAGCATCCATATTGCACCTTTCACTCAGTAAAATGTCTCAGAGTGCATCTTTGAACAAAACATTGCAAAGAGCCCTTTAAACAGATGTTAAAAAATCTGACCAACAGCTTGGTCAAAGTGGTTGGCTTTAAGGAGCATCTTGAAAGAGGCAGTGGAGGTTATATTTAGCAAGGGAATTCCAGATCTCAAGGCCAAGGCAGCTGAAGGTCAGTCACCAATGGTGAGGTGACTAAAATTGCTTCTTTTTCTAATGCTATGTGTCTTAAATCCAAAACCTAAAGTGATTCAGAACCAAAATATGATACAAAAGATCTGCTGCACAAATTCATAGTATCCTTTTTTTAAAATTCATTCTTGGGATATAGGTGTCACATGTGAGGCCAGCATTAATGCCCAGAGGGCAGTTGAGAGTCAACCATATTTTTGTGGGTCTGGAGTCTCATGTAGGCCAGACTGGATAAGGATGGCAGTTTCCTTCCCTAAAGGACCTTAATGAACCAGATGGGTTTTTCCCCCAAAATCAACAAGGGGTTCATGGGCATCATTAGACTATTAGTTCCACATTTATTTTTTGTTGAATTCCATCTGCAATGGTGGGATTTGAACTCTGGCCCACAGATTAACAGCCCAGCAATAATACCACTAGGCCAATGTCATCCCCTCCTTGAGAACAATGAAGTCCATTTAGTCCATTTGACTCATACCAACTCTTGACAATGTCAACCAGCCTCATTCCTTTGAGCTGTCTCCTGCAAATTTTTACTTTTCAATTAGATAGGTGATGCTTTGAACTTGCTGGTGCCATCCTTACTGATAGTGAGCTCCAGAATCTATACCATTATCACTTAAACATAATGACAGCAACTCCCTAGTGTTTCCATCACATTGTAGCCCAGACAGTCCAGAGGAGATTGATGACCAGAAATTCATTATGAAAATGGTAAGATATGGATGTTGTTGATAAGGCCGATGTTTATTGCCTATATACTTTTGAGAAGATGGTTCTGACACCTACTGAGGGGACGCCATGCTGTTGGAATTACCATCTTTCAAGAACCTTGGACTCATGTGCCCTCTCAGATGAATCTAAAGTCCAAAGACATGCAAGTTAGGTGGATTGGCCGTGCTAAATTACCCATCACGTTCAGGGTAGGTTAGGTGCATTAGCCATATGGGTAGAGTGATGGGTCTGGATGGGATGCTCTTCGGTGGGTTGACGTGGACTTGTTGGGCCAAATGATCTGTTTCCACACTATGGAGATTCTATAAACATCCTATGGCACAAATCCTAAGCAGGGGGGTTTGCACCTGTAGACCTATACACTAATCCCTCAATTCCTGTGCCTGGAAAAATGCAGAGGATTCATTCAATACAGCACTATGGGACCTTGCTCTACTCCATTAAGCTGCTGTGTTTCCAACAGTCCAACGTTTCATAGAATTCCTACAGTGTGGAAGCAGGCTATTCAGCCCATCGAGTCCACATTGACCCTCCAAAGACCATTCCACCCAGACCTACACCTTCCTACCCTATCCCTGTAACCCTACATTTCCCATGGTTAATCCACCTAGGCTGCATATCTTTGCAATGTGGGAGGAAACCGGAGCACCCGGAGGAAACCCATGCAAGACATGGGGAGAACGTGCAAACACCACACAGACAATCACCCGAGGGTGGAATTGAATCTGGGTCCTGGCACAGTGCTAACCACTGAGCCACCCTGTCACTATTGGCTGTTGCAGGATGTCCCAAGTCTGTGAAAAGTGCTATTTCACTGAGAGATGATGGAATTGTGGTAAGGATATCATTCCTGGGATTGTCAGGAAGTATGTGAGATATTAGCTGTGTATCTTTTGCTACCAGTCTCTTTATGGGACCATTTAACTGTCTGACAAATCCTCAGCACCCCACAGAATGAAGAAATTCACTGGCATCAAAATGCTGGAGGATGCTATTTCTTGCGAAAGCTTCAGTCCCCATGAACAGTCCACAATGGCATTGACTCCTCCAAAAATCCAGGGAGAGAGAGAGAGAGACTTTCCCTGGTTTAATCGTATCACTGTGCATGGAAGCTTCATCAGGAAATCAACAGGCACTTCAGCCTCACTGTGGGATACATTTGCCCTGCTCCACTTTAAATGCAGAGTGCATTTCTTCCCTCCAAAACCACAGGTTTCCGACCACAGTGAAGTTGATCGGATGAACAGATGATACTCAGTAACCTGATGACTCAGTGCAATGAAGGCTTAAGGCAAACCTCAGCCTGAACCATCACTTCCAGCTTCTCCCTGCTCCCACTTGCTTGTCCCACTCAGATTACACAATTCCCCATTACTTCTGCAGAACTTCCTTTATCAAACCAACCATTCCTAACCGTTAATCCCTGCCTCAGTCAGATTGGGGCACGACTGGGAGCGGAGGTGTGTGGGGCTACAGTATAGGCAGGGCAATACAGACAGACGTGACATTTATAGAGATGGCAGTTTCTGGGTTCCTTCGGGCATGTACGAAAGCACCTGCCAATGCTCGATTCCACTCAACCTGTTCCCTTTGTTCCTTGGGTTACTTGCTGAAAGACTGGGGTGATTTTTCTTCCCCCAGTTGAACCAATGTCGAATGGATAGCTGTGACTGAGACTGCAAATCCCCTTGCCTGGAATGTGACACTGCAGTTACCAGAAACCCATGAAATACACCGAACTGTTCAAATGTAATTAAACCCAAAGATGATGCAGTCCAGCAGCAAGTGTTTTCACCTCAAGGGCTTTCACTAATTGAGAAATTGGATCGACAAAAATAGGCAACTTAATTAAGAGGGAGCAGTCGCTTAAAGCAGTTTGTTTTCAGAGCTATTGGCATGGGATTGGATTTTGAGACTAATAGCCATCAAAGAAAGCAAGATCCATTATGATCCAAACAGATCTCAGCAGTAACTAAATGTACAGATTTGATGAAGGGACAAATTTGTCTCTAAAATTATAGTTTTTTCTGAGGATACCAGTTTGGGCCATATTTTCTCAATTTTCTCTCCTCAGGCCAAAATACAAAGCAAGACAAAATCATCACATGATTCACCCTGAAGAATATCTCACACCATGTTACAAACCTGGATTTTCCACCTACCTCCAGCAAGCAACCTTTAATATAAACAGAAGCCGTACAATAACAATAGATAAAGACTGGTTGTGATGACCAGAGAGAGATAAGACAGGACTCCTGTCGTGAAATATGACATTCTGACGCCTCCACATTGAAAACGTGACACAACCTTCATGCACACAGACAATATTCCCAGCTCTAGACCCGCAATGATGGCTTACCACGCCGACATCACCATATCGCTTCCCAAAGACACAACTTTTAAAACTCCTCCTCTAACCCATTCACCGATGCTCTTTGCGTGAATAGAATAAACTCTTGGAAGTTCTTCACTATTGAAGCCCTGTCTGTGAGACCAGATTAATTATGAAGTGATGTTTCTTGCTCTGATGCCAACCTGGTGAGAACACGTAATTAGCATCAGGAAACAACCAGCCTGAACTTGACACGTTAAATTCACCAGCCTGCGATTCACATCATTTGAAAATCAAGGTACTGACTGGCACTGGAGCATAAGCATGTAATGATCAGTAATTAAACATTTAGTGCTGAGGACACTCCTTTGTGCTGGCTTCATTCTATCTGTGGCATTAACAAAAGCTGCACTCCCGTGTTAGAAAGGGTGTGGGTAAGGTGGCAGAACATCTTGCTGTGCCAGTCAGGCACATTTTGCTTGGACAACCACCCCTACTGCGTTCCGGTATAAAGCTCTGACAACAGACCTTGCGGTATCCTGGTAAACGGGGTGTCAAATTCTTGGGAATGCAGTGTATCTCCAATAAAGAAGGTTCTGGGAACCAGCTTGTAAAACGGACCTTTTTGAAATGACCCTAGGATGTAACGATCGCAGTCTTAAACCACTCAGTGGCATGCTTTGGTTGGAACGAAAGCAAAACCAAGTATTCTCCTGAGTAAGATCTTTGGGGGGCATGACCACAAATACACCACCTCTGGAAAGAAAATGTTCAGAAATGTATCCCAAAAAAAAATTAACCAACAGAACAAATAAGCACCTGGAGGAATTTGGTATCACAGATGCAGCATGAAATGTATTATTAATTTTTCAAACAATGTTGCTTCAGTTGAAAATACAGAAAGATCACAGCTACAACATCGAGGGTGTAACATCCTATCCTTCAGCATCTTATTCCCTCCATTTTTTGTCTTTGAAAAGAACTCTACTGCAGCTTGATCATCTCCCACTGCATGCCACTTCCTGGCACCAGTGGACTTGTCAAGAAATAACTACCTGACTTGAATTTGTTGGCACGTTGCCTCGCACATAACACGTCCGTTGCTTACCTTTAAAGCTCAGATAAACCCGGGGGGCATTCTGCTGATGGGCACTGGCATTGCCATACCACAGGGAGAGCACCAAGAGCCAGGTAGGCAGATGGCGGTCCATGCCAACCGATTTCAAAGGAACAGGAGCCTTCAGACCTGCATCAGGGTGGAGGTACAAAGGACAAAAAGAACATAATCCCTCATCAGTTGAGTGGTTAGGCAAACAGCTCAATAGTGATTAAATCCAGCTTTTTGTGGGTTTGTAGATAGGGGAGAGAGAGAGAGAGAGAGAGAGAGAGAGTCTGAATACCATAGTAACTTTAATATCAGCGCAGGGGGAAATGAGGTTTCAAGGAAGGTGCTGTGGGAGCAAGCTGTGGGTTGACTGTGAGGGAGTCAAGGCAGGGCTGATCAATTAAAGGAAACCTCCCATCCCAGAAACGGCATTGCAAGGAAGACAGGACCCAGTGTAAAAACAGTTCTCAACACAATAATTAATCATTGTTTAAAGCATTAGCTCCAGTAAATTCAAATAATCCCTCTGAGTGCTTTAAGCAGATTTCAACTCCCCTATGAAAATAAACACTTATTACTGCTTTGAATGATTCCCTTACCATTTTTATTCCGACAGTACTCCCTCCACTAACAAAGCTGTTTTGTGAGTCTGTAAATTCCTACTTAAAAAAATAATATTTATAGCAGATGTTGACCTCCTTTGAAGATGTGACACTGAGAGGCAATAGGAACGGCTGTAAAGGGGACAGTGACACTGGCTGAGATCCCAGTGGTTAGATACCAATTCACCCTCATTTTAATAAAAATCCAGTAATTTTCACAAGTGAGAGAGTTTCAGCTTTAGCCATTTATTGATCTAAATGTCCCAGATCGGCAGGCATGCCAACTCTAATAATTCATTTCAGCGAAGATTGGAATCCGCAGAGTTCGATCTGCTGGTTGGGGAAGTTAAGCTTTCACAACAAACTACACAAATGTTTTCACCAAGGTAGCTCTTGAAACAGCAACAAGAAAACAGCTACTCATAAAAAAAAGCACACTGTGAAGGAATGTAATGAATATAAAACCTAGGCTAAATTCTGCAGAGGGCCACTAAACAGCTCCATGACAGAGGGCCGTTTCTTTGTTTGAATTCAGTGCATATTCAGGAAGGTGCAGAAAAGATTGAAAATTCAATTCATAAATAAGACAGCTGAGGAAATAGAACGATATTCGCAAACAAGATAACAAAAAAAAAGACAGGCAATAGTATATTGTTTAGAACTTCACTGAAATGATGTAACATTTTTAATTACATGTAGGACACACACAAACACAGAAACTGACAAACATAGACAGGCGCAGAAATGTACACACAGAAATATACACACAGAAATGACACTGACACACAGACATACACTTACAGAAATACACACACACACAGAAATAAACTGACAAACATACACAGTTACAGAAATACACACACACAAAAATACACACTCACACTTACAGAAATACACATTCAGACAGAAATGACACTGACACACACTCACTTACAAAAATATACTGAGCCACAGGGTTTCAGAGATAGAAAGACACACACATAGAAATACAGAAACTGATAGATATGCAAACATTACAGAAGCATCAGACACAAAAAAAACATTGTAAACACATGTACAGAAACATGATGACAAACACAAAATCACAGTGACATTCACCCCCACAGAAAGACACTGATAGGTAGACATATACACAGAGAAAAATACCAAATTACACTCACAGAAACACATGGACAGCACAATCTCAAAAACACAATAAAACACAAAGCCAGCATAATAATGAAAATCTTTGTTTGCTTTTCAACTCCAAAAGACAACCAAACATCGAAGCCAAAATGACGGTGAGTTCCCGATTAATAGTCAATCCAGATTTTACAAATGGCATTGTTTAGGCATCAGCTCACATTCAGAAGAAATTAAAATCTCAGGGTCGAAATCTCACTTCTTTTTAGAGAATCACGTTTCATTTGGAGTTTTTCGATTCAATGTAAATTTCAGTGTCAAGTTTCCACTGTTAATAATAGAAGGAAGAAGCCATAAATAAAGTGGGAAGTTATCTAGAAATCATTGACTAGGGTACTTGGGCTTGCAGTGGGGGGTTTAATATATAGTATGAATTCGAAACCAGGGAATCAAGAATTCATTTTCACACTGTATTCTCTCACAATCTGGGGACATCCCCTAGGATTGAGGTTTATTCTATGCTTCATTTGAAGACTCATATAATATATCCCATCTATTGTAACTGCAAATAAAATGTCTTTGAGGACGAGTATTTTTAAAACACAATTATTGATTAGAGAACCAGATTGAGGGAAAGGTCGATATGGGTAGCTTTTGATAAAGAAAAACTTCAAAAGAATTGAATGTAGAATCCCGTCGGCACTAAAAGTGCTGTAGACATTCAATATGGTCTCACTCCTTGGATGACTTTAGTTTCAACACCAAAGTCTCATTTGGTGGATTCGCTCAATTTGTTTCTGGGAAGAGGAGAACACAAGGCTTCACAAGTAGAGTCAGGACGGAGGGAAAGATCATGCTCATTGAAATGACCCGGAGTGCTGGGAGCATGCTGCTGTCTAACCAGTAAGAGCACAAGCAGGTGCTGTTGTGACATGCAGAAGTCATTGGAATCCAGCTCCGATAGCCTGGCCCTTCCCGAAGGAACACGGAGGGCATGAGCAGACACCCGGCGGATGAAAATACAGCAACGGTGCAGAGAAGGACAAGCCGAGAGAGAGAGAGAGAGAGGAAAAGTGCACAAAACGTTTAAAGAACAAAATCGTCCCAGCTGATAATCCTGTGTAGAAAACGTGACTGTCAAACATTTGGCTTCAACACGCGTGGCAAACCTTTGCACAAAATGGTATGACAGCCTTAAAGAGGTATAAGAGTCTAATTGCATGTCCTCACCTCAAGAAGTCCAAAGCTTCTCATTCACCCTGGGCTGGCACTCCAAGTAATGCTGAGCCAAACTATTTTTAACAGCCCACTTATGAGCAAAGCAACAGTGTACAAAAGAGAGAGAGAGAGACAGACCACAAATAAAAGACAATAAAACCATCCTCTGGAATTGCACCGAATATTACAACCACGCTGAGACTTAGAAGAATAAATGACCATCCCACTCATATTAGTCTCTCTCAAACCCACATTCAAAAGCCTCTTGAAAAGCCTTCACTTTGTTTCATTTGCAGCATTGTATTTCACCAACTCTCACTCTCTCTCTCTCACACACATACACACACACAGATAAAGACCAAGATTTGAATGAGTTTACCTTTCAGTGGCTAAGCTTGCTTGAGAAGAAGTGTTAAGTTTGCAGTTCCCTCAGTGCTGAGGAACAACTACCCTTCCACCCCCCCTTCCTTTATTGGCACACAGTCAGGCAGCAAAAACAAATTAAAACAAAATTTGTCAGTGATGGCAGTGACTAGAAAGAAAACGTCCCCAGTTTATCTCCACTTCACGGTCTTCGCGGCTTCACTGCATCCAGAAACATGCTCCACTCACTGGCTTACAGCTGAAGGCAAAGCAGCAGAGCAGCTCTCACAGGTAGACTTCCTAAATGTCAGAAGCACAGCCTCTCCCCTTGTGCTGGTTTAAGAAGGTTTCGCAGGTATGCAAATGATGCAAGTGGCTGAAGTCTTGACTTTGAAAGAAAAGGGGGAGTTTCTCTCTATGACTCTCTCTCTCTCTCAACTCACCGCTCCTGACTGTTCTCTGTGCTGCACTGAAGAACATGTCAGGTGGCCAGGAATCTACAGACGTTTGCATAATCCAACCTACAGAACAAAGTTGTGTGCTGGAATGCTCCCTGGTGCCACCTCTGGGTAACTCACAGTCTCTGCAGCCTGCCCTTTCTCAGCTTCAGGAGCCTTAACACACAGCAGAAATTTAAGGCAGGGAGCTAACTCTGTTAACCCTTACGTTGCAGTAGAATCAAGACTTACTATCCTCCCTCCGACGTCCCCCACAGTCTCTAAACCCCCAGCCATCCCCCTGCCCTATCCTTCACCTGCCCTAGTCATCCACTCAGACACAGCTCTCAGGGTCCTGAACAAGAGCAGAAAATCAAGCCTGATACAGGATACGCCACTGGGAGTAGTTTTCTGATAAAGAAAGCACTTAGGCTGAGCTGTATCTCCCTCTGAGATCTGCATCACAACAGCAGCTGGGGACGTAGACATTCTGGATAATGGCCATGCCTCTCAATTCCCTGAAGAAAAGTGGAGGTGAGCTCTATCATAAACATTTACATTTCAGACAAGCGAGGGAGCCAGTATGGGATGACTGTGGCTAAGAGTACAGAAGCTAGTGCCTTAGTACGTCACAGCGAGTCGCAGAGTCACAGAGGCTTGGCCCAGCTTGTGCGCACTGCCCAGACTTCACATTTAATTTAGTCCCATTTGCCTGCATTTGGTCCACATCCCTCCATACCTAACCCATCCATGTACCTTTCCAATTGTTTCTTCAATGACAAAATTGTACTCGCCTCCACCACTACCTCTGGCAGCCCATTCCAGACACTCACCATCCACCGCATGAACAAATTGCCCTCTAGACCCTTTTGTATCTCTCCCCACTCACCTTAAGCCCATGCTGTCTCATTTTAGATTTCCCAGCCACGGGGTAAAGCTGCCGGCTATCTACCTTATATATGCCTGTCATGATGTTATAGACCTCTATAAGTAATGGATCAAGGCCTTTTCTTCTATTTTCTCTGTTGCCTCACCAACCCTAATTTTTAAATCAATCCTGAGAGATGACTATCATTGGCTGGGCCAGCATTTATTGCCCATTTCTAATTACAGCGGAGAAAGTGGCAGTGAGCTGTCTTTTTGAACAGCTGCAGTCTGTGTGTGAAATTACACCTGCAGCGCTGTCAGTGCGGGGTTTCCAGAATTTTGACTCACTGATGGTGAAGGAACAGTGGCATAATCCCAAACTGGAATAGTCTATGATGTGGAGAAGAACTTGCAGGAGCTAGTGTTCCCTTGTCTCATTAGAACATATAAAAGAGGCGTAGGATTAGACTACTTGTCCTCTTGAGCAGAAAGATACAGAACAGAGACATTTGGGAGTCTTCATCCATGAATCACAAAAAAAAGCCCATCATCCAAGTTCAGTTGGTAATAGGGAAGCCAGATGGAAGGTTATCCTTTATTTCTAAGGAAGCAGAGTATAAAATTAAGGAGGTTTTGTTAAAACTACACAAGGCACAATCAGACCACAACCAGAAAACTGTGAACTGTTTTGGGTCTCTTATCTAAGGAAAGATTACTGGCATTGGAGTCAGTCCAGAGAAGGTCCACTGGGTTGATACCGGGTCTGGAGGGACTGTCTTATGAGGAGAGTTTGAGTGGTTGGGCCATTGGAATTTAAAAGAATGAGAGGTGACCTTACTGAGACATACAAGATTCTTAGTGGACTTAACAGTGTAGTAACAGTGGAAAGGTTGTTTCCGATGCAGGAGAGTTTAGGATGAGAGGATAACCTTAGAAAAAGGGGTCACACGTTCAAGACAGAAATGAGGAAGAATTTCTTCTCTCAGAGAATAATGAAACTGTGGAATACTTTACCACAGACGTCTGTAGAGATTGGGTTTTTAAGTGCATTCAAGACTGAGATCGACAAATTTTTAACCAGTTACAGAATCAAGGGTTATGGGGAAAAGACAGGAAAATGGATTGAGGGTTATCAGATCAGCCATGATCTCATTGAATCATGGAGCAGGCTGGATGGGCTGAATACCCTATTTCTGTTCCGATATCTTATGGTCTTACAATTAAACCATTAACTTCAATTACAGTCCCCTGCCTGACCCTTGACTCTTTCATCAATCAGAAATCTTTCCAACTCAGCCTTGGATGTATTCAATGACCCAGCCTCCATTGCTCAGAGAATTCTAAACACCAAGGACATTCTGGCAGGAGAAAGTCTTCCTCGTTGATCTCATTGAATAGCGGAACAGACTCAACGGGCTGAATGATCTATTTCTGCTCCTACATCTTACGGTCTTATGACTAAAGATGGTGGGTGTTGCTAATAACCTGTCCCAGATGGCATCTAGCTTCTTGAACTTTTTTTGGAGCTGCACTCATTCAGCAAGTGGGCAGTATTTCATGTTACTCTTGTCATACGTGTGAAAGCCAATGAAATACAGCAGTTTTGAAATGTAGTCACTATTGTGATTTCGGGAAGCACTGCAGCCAATTTGCTCAAACCAAGGCCCAAGACATACCAGTGAGAAGATCAGATTGTCTATTAATGATTTGGGTTGAGAGATAAATACTGGCTACAAAAACAAAGTTGCTGGAAAAGCTCAGCAGGTCTGGCAGCATCTGCGAAGGGAAAAACAGAGTTAACATTTCGGGTACGGTGACCCTTCCTCAGAATGTTAAATATTGGCCAGGAGACTAGAAGAACACCACTGTTCTTCCTCCAACCAACGTCATGGGTTCAGATACATTTAGGCTGTGAGGGTAGATGGAGCCTTGCTTTAGTGACTTATCTGAAAGACTGCATTGAATTTTCAGCTAAACTCAAGTCTCCTCAGCGAAGATTGAAGCTGTCCCTCTCTTTGTTTAATGTTAAGGGTCATGCTGTTTATCCTCAGAAATTCACATTTCAGATTTTCAAAATGCTCATTTTCTTTTTCTCTGTTTACCTCCATGTTTCAAATCTGCATCAAAATTCATTGGCCTGATCATTTAAGCTTTTGATCAGGTTCCTGGGTCACTGGAGCACGTGTATGATATTGCTAAATAAAAACCGAAAGAACCGCCGATGCTGTAAATCAGGAGCAAAAACAAAGTCGCTGGAAATGTTCAGCAGATCTGGCAGCATCTGCAAAGGAAAAAACAGAGTTAACGTTTCAGGTCCGGTGACCCTTCCTCAGAATGTTCCTCAGTGTATGATATTACTGTTGGCTAGTTATAGAGACAATCTTTAAGTGAAATTCAACTAAGTGAATCTATTCAGTTTCCACGTGTATAATAGGGGTCTCGTGAGATGGTGGTAGCACCCCTGTATCTGAACCTGGAGGCCTAGGTTCAAGTCTCAATTACTCCAGAGGTGCGTAATAACAGGTTGAATAGAAAATATCTCCAGACATATATTAGTCAAAAGGAATAACCAGTCATGAACTATAACCCATCATTAGCTAAAAGCCAGGATCACAGGAAACTGCACCTGTATGGAGATCATATCAGGTTTCTGTGTGATAGCTTCCAAAGTCAAATAGCAAGCCAAGATTCCCTGATTCCCTGAATCCCTAATTTTCAGATAGGATAGTCCATGATAGTGGATTTCAGTCCCAGCACAGAGTCAATGCCTTTTGGAGAAGGAATGTCAACCAATGAAAGAGAAAGAAAAATATTTTTACAAGACCTTAAAGCTACAGTGAAAGCATTCCTTCTGTTTTTCTTTACTTTTTTTTGGCTAAACATAAGGTTTTACTGACAGAATCAAATATGAATGGCTTGTAGCTATTCGTTACCATGACTCTGGGAAAGTGCTGGACTGAAACACATGAGGCCAAATGCTCCGCTAATCATAAAAAAAGGGACAGGGATGAGCATGTTCCACCCCTGAAGCAGTTGATGATACACTTTTGAAATCTGCAATCGCAGAAGAAAAATAAAAGCAGTCCTGGTGCTACTGATCCTTTACTGTACGGAGACAGTAAGAAACCACTCAACTTTATAAAAATCAAGCTGTAGATGCACAGTCTAGGAGGAAAGCAATAATTGGGAAGAGCTCGTTTTACAAGCCTGGGTAGTGAAGTGTGCTTTTCATAATTGGCATGGAGCCATTTCCCTCAATGATTGCGCATTCAATAACCACATACTTATATAGTTAAGTGGACTGTTCAGTAAACTGGTACTAGAAGGGTCCATTATAGTGAGGAGAACAGATGGAGAATTCAGAGCTGCTCAAACGTATCTGAAAGTGTGGATGTGATGTCAAAGAGTCAGCACCTGGACAGGGCAGATATGAGAAATGGTCCTCCACTTGAAGCTAAGATGTGAATACGAACAATTTGGATTTATATAAAGCTTTTGATGTTGGAACACAATCTGAAATACTACACTGAAGTGCAGTAGGCAAAATTGGATTTCAAACCTTAGCTGGAGATGTTGTGTAGAATGGATGGTAGTTGCTGGAACAAAGAGTTGGAGTTTGAGGAGGGTCATTAAAGAGGAGAGTTGCAGAGGGGATTTTAGGAGATGACACCTAAATGACTTTTTTTAAATTTATTCGTTCACGGGATGAGGGTGTCGCTGGCTAGGCCAGCATTTATTGCCCATCCCTAATTACCCAGAGGGCAGTTAAGAATCAACCACATTGCTGTGGGTCTGGAGTCACATGTAGGCCAGACTAGGTAAGGATGGCAGTTTCCTTCCCTAAAGGACATTAGTGAACCAGATGGGTTTTTACAACAATCGATAATGGATTCACGGTCATCATTAGACCCTTAATTCCAGATATTTATCGAATTCCAATTCCACCATCTGCTGTGGCAGGATTCAAACCCATGTTTGCAGGACATTATCTGGGTCTCTGGATTAATAGTCCAGTGATAACACCACTAAGCCATTGCCTCCCCCGATTCAAGGCACAACGACCAATGGGTTGAGCAAGTGTGGTGTAGAATGCACTAGAAGCCGGAAACAGATGAGTGTAGAGATGGTGGAACATTGCATGTGTGCAAGAGTTACAGAGGTAGGAAATGGCAT